TTTTTTAGTTCTTTATAGATTCTAGAGAGCAGACCCTTGTCTGAGTACTTATTTGTCATGATTATTTGCAAATTTGTAGGTTGCCTTTTCACTTTATTGGTAATTTCTTTTGACGTGAAAAAACTTCTCAGTAAGAGCAGATCCCAATGATTGTAATTCTTTTTCAGACATTTCATAGATTTTGTTTTTGGGAATAATTACTGAAGAATTAATGTTTTCTTTTAGACATGGCATGCTTCTACTTTCCTTACATTGATTTGTGTGTATCAGATACAGCAGTAACTTCTTCCAATTTTATGGAATACCTTTGTAGGGAAAGTCTTTTTGTTTACATGGGCCTGTGGCAGCCGCTGTGGTGCTGGAGCTGTGCTTATTGAGCGGCCTATTTTAAGGCCCCATGAGGGGAATGCCACTGTGGAATCTCATGTGATCCCCTGAGGACCCTGGCCATGAAGAAATCTTTCTTGGGCTCTGTAAGGGAAGCATTCATAATGCTAAGTTTTCAGAATGCAGCCACTACAGTGACAGGGCTTCCTACTGGGTCCTAGGACAGGAATACCTGTATTAGTGGCTCTGATCTTAAGGTGGCTCTGATCTTAAAGTTGGTACTCTTTTATAGCACACTGGGTTCTGAAGGCATGGGTGTGCTGGTGATGGTGTGAATTCTTTCTCTGTGGTAAACACTTCCATGGAGCTAAGGCAGCTCCCCAAGTGGGGTGAGAGCCTGTGAGGACTGTGGAATGTTCCTGTAGTTAGGATGCCAGGCCACAGCAATAGCAGAGCTGGGGGAGCACTTCCTACCTTTTCCCAGCAGTGTACAGTCCCTCCTCACCAGAGTCAGGTAGTATTGTGTTCTTTGCTAGCATCCATGCCATTTAAGGTTCTCATCATGCCTTGTTGAGCTCCAATGTTTTCCTATAGTCATATTCCTCAAGCGTGGCCATCTCTTGGCTGCTCTAGTTCTCTGTGGCATAGGTCACCTGCTGGCCATTTCTATTCTGAGGTAGGTATTGTTATATCAGGTGTGCAGGTAAAAGAACTGAGGCCTTGGTGCACACACGCCCATTCCACTGGACTCCTCAGGACTCTGGGCTCCCTCTCTGCTCAGCTTTCCTGAGCCAGAGGCACTGTAGTCTCTTTATACTCTCCACTCATTCCACCCTTACTAATGCCAGGGCTCACCTCACTCACCACAAATTGAACCCAGATCTCCAGAGTCTTTCTCTCCAGAACTAGCCTGATTTGCTTTTGTCTCACTCACTGCCAGTCACCCCTACCTCTCTCTTCCATCACTGCACTTCACTCCTTGCTTCTGTTCCTTCCCTCTGAGATGCCAACATCGTTTCAAGAACTCTGAGTGGAACTGACCTCTCCTACCCCCTTCCCCCTGCTTACAATACAACTTTCTTTATATTATAATAAAAAATTAAAAAATAGAACTGAGGCTTGGAGTGGTGCAGCCTAGGATTGGCGACATTACCTTGGCATGGAGCCAGCAGACTGAAACTCCTATAGACTGAGCCAAAACAAACCACTCTTCCTTTAATTTATTTAATCACAGCTTTTTGTAAATTGAAATTATTTTAAAATAAAGAATTAAAATATTACATCAGAAAATACCACATATAAGAAAAACAGAAAGGACACAACCTAAGAATGGAAGCAAAACACGAGCAAATATTTCACACATGAACATATACATGTGACCAATAAAGCCATAACTATTTGATATCATTGATATGCACACAACTCCTCTGGACCACAGTGTGGTACCATTTTGCATCTGATAGACACAACTGCTTCAAAATTTAAAAAATTTGAAGATATCAACTGTTAGGATTTGCGTTTCAATGATCCATTATAAATTTCTGGAGAAAGTGTAATATATTATTGTTACTTTATTTAACATTTTATTATTGTGTTAGTTGATACATTGTGTCAACTTGGCTGAATGAGCTCGGGCAGATCTCAGCATGGGGCCCTAACCCTACAGGTGGGCAGGGCCCAGGAATTGAGAAAGGCAGGAAGCCAACCTGCCTGGTTTCCTGCCATCCCACCCGGCTTCCGCTTCTGTGGAGAAGTCCCAGTCTTCGGGGGAGCTTGATCTTTGTGGCTGCGCCACTTTGGAGGAGCTCGGATCTTCACTGCTCTTCATTGTTTTCTGCTGTATGAACTGCTGTTTGCCTTGGAGCCAGCGGAATATGGACTGAACCCTCCAGTAACTGTGAGCTAGATAAACCTTTCCTTCCTTCATTTTGAGTGTTGGGTATTTGTCCCAGCAACAAATAAAAAGTAACTAAGGCAATTATTATCTTAAAAAGTTGAACATTGGAATACTTTGTGACCCTGCAATTTCTTCCACACACACACACACACACACACACACACACACACAGAGGCATGTACAGTATGCTCACAACAGTAAAATTTACAATAGGAAGAAGGCAGAAAGAACCTCAATGTGCATTAGTGGAAGACTGGCTAAAGAACTGTGTACTTTGTGACCCTGCAATTTCTTCCACACACACACACACACACACACACACACACACACAGAGGCATGTACAGTATGCTCACAACAGTAAAATTTACAATAGGAAGAAGGCAGAAAGAACCTCAATGTGCATTAGTGGAAGACTGGCTAAAGAACTGTGTGCATTTTCACCATGGAGCACCATCGAGCAGCGAGGGTAAAAGAACTGCAGTGTGGGAGAATTTTAGCAAGACGGCATGAAACGTAAAAGGAAACCGTTCCCTAATCCCATACAGGATGATACCATATTGCAAAGTAAAAACAACTAAAAACCATTTCAAATATATATTACACACGTAAAACTATATAAAGCTGCAAGATGATAATAGACACATGCAATGGATGTTTTCTTTGCCGTAAGAAATACCCTAACTTAAAGAGGAATAGATTTTTTTAAATCTAGAAACTTTTACTTTTGATTACCAAGTCTTTCCTTCTGCTTTCATTCGTTCACTTTTCAAAGTTTTGAAGGTCAGCTTTATGCGTACCCGGCTCACAGAAGAGGTTCAGTAAATGATACTTACTAAAATTGTACCGAATGACTGAAAGCCTGTGCGGTGTTTGCCTCTCAAGGGCGCCTTTGCAGTTACGCTGAATGTCCAATTGGTGGAGCCCACGTTGCATTTGTTAATGGCGAAAAAGCCAGAATGGAAACTTGTTCACTGTTTCAGAATCTCTGGGCAAATTCTGGATAGTTCTGAAGGAATTTTGCAATAACTTTGGCTAGCCTTTGAAGCAGATTAATTGGACGATAATTTCATCCTTTTGGCATGGTATTTGTGTTCAATGAACCGCTTTCCAATCGAAAATTTAACTCATTTGATCCTAGAATTAATGTCAAATAGCAAATGTATGGTCAGCTTTCCCATTTCTGGGATAAAATGCCTGATATACACTTTTTTTTGGGGGGGAGGGGCAGGATCTCGCTGTACATTCCAGGTTGGCCTTGAGCCAGCTCATTTTGTAGTCCAGGCTGGTTCTTGAACTCACAAGGATCCTCTGGCTTCAGCCTCTGAGCGCTGGCATTACATGAGGCACCACACCTGGCCTTGACATACACAATTTAAAGGATGAAATGGTTGATTTGGCTCCTGACTTGAGACGTTTTAGTCCATGGTTGTCTGGTTCCAAGATCAGAACATCACGGTGGAAGAAGGTAGAAGAACGTGGAGGAACAAACCTCCCACGTCATGGCTGCGAAGCCAAGCAAGAGAGCACAACCACTGACGGATTCCTAAAGGCACAGCCCCTGCACCCGCCTCCTAACGATAGCTTGGGCTGTGAACCACGTGGGCTCATCCGCTGATGAGCATAGCAACCCCATGATGCAGTCACCTTTCTGAGAAAAAAAGGTGAAGGCAATGAAGAATGAGAAAAGTCTACTTAAAATACAATGAGAGGGGAAGCCGTGGTAATGACTGTGACAAGAGAGACACGATACCATGTAAAGAAAAAGGTATCAACATGAGACCTAACATTGCTATAAGTACAGGGACTTGTCTTGAAGCACTGGTCTTTCTTTCTTTCTTTCTTTCTTTCTTTCTTTCTTTCTTTCTTTCTTTCTTTCTTT